TGCGTACGTACATACATACTTGCTTAGTTGGGTATTCACGTAAATACATAATCATATTTATGTACTTGCGCAACTCCTGACACACACACACACACTGACACTTCCGCTCAGTTACTTGCTTATCTGAATTCGGTTGAAGTGCGCTGGGAACGCAGGATGCGGGGCATGTGCTCAGGGTTCAGGCTTGCAGCTTTGATGGCTGCTGTCTCGGACGCGGTGGCATCAGGTGGGACATCTAAACAGGTTGTAAAACCCACGAACTTAGCCGGCGCAAGCCCTCACTGTGTTGTTTATGCGGATCTGCGGATTTCCGATGCACGTCAAAGATGGTACTTCGGCTAGCACGGCCTGCATGGCGCCGCTGTCGTGTCGAGACCTTGCTGACGGCAGGGACTTGCAGCTCGGAATGTAGGTCACATGACTACATGGAACTGCATTACATGTCCAGGTCAAGGGACTCATTGCTGATGACTCATGTCGGTTGATTGATGCGCAAGTGCTCGAGACAGCAGTGGGGCAAACATATTAAGAGATTTGCACTCTGTCCGAACGGTTGAGCGCGGACCGCATATAGACCTGATTCTTGTCTTGCAGTTGTCCGAGACCCCCGGCCCAGTGCATGCTGCTGCGCGGTCCGGCGGTAGTGTGACGCGACCGCCCTGCAGGCCGCGACGAAAGCCTTCACAGGGGGAATTGCAACTGATGGCGAGAGGCCGTAGTTTGAGATCCCGGACTTTAGCTCTGATGAACTTCTGCAATGTCGCATGTTGGTCTTCGAATCCGGTACCTAGACCTAGACGACGACCTTCCATATTCCAAGCCTCGGCGTCCGCATCCATCAGAAGCTCTCGGAACCAAGGCCTCGGAACCCAGCGAAGCTCGAATCCGAAAATGTCGATGTCACCTCCCCGAGACACTTCGAGCCAACCTCCCACTCGCAGCACAAACGGCCACTCATCGACAAAACGACTCTCCGATTCTTCGCAAAGAGCTGGGCACACTGCGCGAAGGGCTCCGGGGAGCCCCCAGCCAAGAGCCACATCTCCAGCTTGAGGTACTCATCCCGGCGCACGCTCGCCTAAGGCTCAAAGCACCCAGAGCTTCTGCGCTCCACTATGCCAAGCCTCCACTGGACCCCTGCAGATGCCTGTGTCGAACCAGGCTTCACAAGTCCCTTCGGCCCAAATCTCTTGCTCCACATCTAAGCCTTCGGAGCTCGGAACTGCACACTACAAACTTAAAGCGAAAAGCATGTCCTTCGGCCCTGCTAACCGCAACAGTCCCTCTCTCAAACCTTTGCTTCGCAGACCAGCTGCACGGGCTGCAACGAAGGCCTCCTCGCCAGGCGGTTGCGGGAGGACCTCAAAGCACCCCCAAAGGGCACCGACCCCGGTTTCAATTGCAAACGAGAGGGCATTACAGCTGAGAGCACGGTCTTGAGTGGTCTTGAACGTGAAGCTCACATGCCCTGTTACCAGGCTTTCTTTTGGGGGTGCAAAAGACTGCGTCGGCAAGACATCTCGCTCAGCTCTGCCGTACCGATCAAATGCTGCAATGCCATCCAACACTGGTGTCCTGCTGAAGCCTGTCCTACCCAAGATCGCCAGAATGACAGCATCAGCCTCAAACGTTGTCACCAGACTGTGCTTGTCATCATCGTTGCACTCCTGCTGATACTCCATGTCCCTCGATTTTCCTCCAAGTTTACACGAATTCCCGGATTCTAGGGAGCCGAGCTGAGCGGGTCACTTCTCCAAGACACGCACAGGCTCCTGGCCAAGAAGGACTGCCCCTGGCTTGAAGGAGGGTGGGCGATTGAACTGGAAACAGCAGCTGCATCTCAGAATACGAGGGACGATGAGTCCAACCGGTCCTGGCTCGTTGTCGGTGAGATCACCTCACACATCGCATTCACAAATCACACCGTGCAGAAGAGTTGCAGGACAAGCTCCACAGCTCGACAGGCAGAGGACTGGGGGCTGTTTGGTCATTGCCTCATGACCTCAGTGCATGTCTGCGACTTTGGCGGTCGGCCTGCCCTCTGCCCCAGAGTCCAAGAGCAAGAAGCAAGCCTGGACGATGTGGTTCTGCATCGGGAACATAAGCCTGACGAGTACTCCATCTTGTTTGCATTGTAGTGCTGCCAAGTCGAAGGCTGTAGAGTTTGTTCTTCTATCACCGGATGTTGTTGCAAGCTCCTATTTCTTCAAGTACAATGTCTTTCTGTACGGAATTATGGTGAGCATTAGTCGTGTCGCATTTCAATTCATAAAATCAGGTCTTCCGGCCTGCCAGCTCCGGTCCCCAAGTGCCGTCGGAGAGCCGGGCCTGTCCCCGAAGCAGTCCTCGAAGCATTCGGCCAGTCCGCTGTCTTTCAGTGCTTGTCGACACAGCTTGACCCTTCTACTGGGGCAGAACGCGAAACTCAACGAGATGCGCTCCCCCGCCCCCCCCCGCGGCAGCCTAAAAGCCGAAACATTGAGGGTTGGGCTTCTTGAGCGCCGGGGTTAAAAGCAATTCGCTAGCCGCTAGAAGCCGCAAACTGGAAAACTAGCAAACGTTCACCGGGATAATCGTCTAGTGATGACCGTGATGCTTCCGAGCGGCACTCTTTAGCACTGTGGGATAAGCCGCAGCTAACATTTCAACCGATGTTGCTAGCGTTGGGTCAAGGTGTGCCCTCAAAAAAACCCTGGCAGACCCGTTCTGGTGACTCAGCTGCAGCAAGCAGGTCTGCCAACCGCCTCTGCATCGAGGCTTGTTCTTAGACAGATGTTCAAACATATCCAGGTTGAGTACATCGGCATGGTGCCTTTCATACTAGACGGCTCCTGAGAGGATGTGTGTCGGGGGCTGAGGTTGTCATCCGACTTTTTCCTCTTCGTCGTTGTCCAACTAATTTGGACTTTCATACCTTCATCGCCGATGGTTACTACGATTCGCTTGGATACTCCTGTTGACTTGTGATTGCTTTTGTCTCACTAATGGCTTGCACTGTTCCTACAGCAACCTCTGTTTGTAACTGCAGAAGAACACTTGCAGCAACAGCACTGGCAGTACTCCGTCGTAGTACCGAACATCGCCGTTGTAGTAGTAGTAGTAGTAGTAGTAGTAGCAGCAGCAGTAGCAGCAGCAGTAGCGGTAGCAGTAGGAGCAGGAGTAGGAGCAGGAGCAGTAGCAGTAGCAGTAGGAGTAGGAGTAGGAGCAGTAGCAGTAGCAGTAGCAGTAGCAGTAGCAGTAGCAGTAGCAGTCGCAGTCGCAATAGCAGTAGCAGTAGCAGTAGCAGTAGGAGTAGGAGTAGGAGCAGGAGCAGTAGTAGTAGTAGTAGTAGTAGTAGTAGTAGTAGGAGCAGTAGCAGTAGCAGTAGCAGTCGCACTAGGAGCAGTAGTAGTAGCAGCGGCAGGGGTAGGAGTAGGAGTAGTATTTATTCGAAGTAGCAGCCGCCTCTACACCTACAACTACAACGACGACGACTGCTGCTACTACTTTCGTACACCACCGCCACCAGCACCACCACCACCACCACCTGCACTCCTGCTCTGTAGGAACACTATTACGTTCGGATGCTGGTTTCACCTCTGCTTCTCGCATTGATATGCACACCAAACCCGGCCCTGAACCTAGGATGGCATTATCATGAAGTGGCCTCGCCGGCGTCTGCTGCACGGGGCTGAGCCTTAAATCACTCCGGCCAAGATACCAGCATTGAGCCCGACTCTTTTGGGAACAAGGGCCCTGCTAGAGCGTCTTAGCATGGGTCGCGGAGTTCCATGTAGAGTGAGTACACTTACTTGCATCTGTTGTTCAACACTTGTTCATGCTCTGGTCTCAGGTACTCTTCTAGTGCCTTCGACAGACGAGGAAGCTGTTTAAGCATGCCTGTGCACGGAAAACAAAATCAGCATGGTTGGTTTCTCCTGCCTGGCCGATAAGATAGCTCAACCTGTGCCGGAGTTTGCTTCGACTCTGTATACCATGCGCCGTCTTTAGGCATGGTTATGCTCTCAACCCAAATCGCTCCGGAGGTAAACCCAAATATTCGTGCAAAAGCACCGGCAGGAGCTCAGGTAAGACGTCAGGACAACGAAGAAGACAGGGTAGAAGCGGGAGCGTTCCGAACAAACTGTGATGCCTAAGATCGTTCCAGATTTGAACAAGTCCAACTCTCGCACGAGCACTTGAAAGCCAGGAACTTCAGAGCAGCCAGGACAAGTCTGCTCTCCCAAAGATTCGACTCCGATCGGACCCCAGTCCACTGGTCAGAAATCCCAGCGGCTGTCGTTCACGCCACTGCCTTCGAAGTGCCTGTGCTGGCAACGTAAATACTAGACCGAAAAAAGACTTGACGAGTTGTATCGGTTCGCTTCATTGTGAGGCATCTTCGCATGTGCCTGCAGTGGAGAGGGCCGTGGGGCAGACCGAGCCGCACCCTCCGAATCGGAGTCCATCGGCAAACCCTGCGAGCGTGAGGCTGCAACAGCGGTACGCTTGGGACATAAGTCCACGGTATGCACCGGTGCACTAAGCCACTTTGGTTACGTGTACCACTCTGTTAAACAATCTCAGAGGCTGCCCCTGCTTCGAAGCCTTGCGGCGTTGGAGAAAAGTCCATGGCAGTGCGGTTTGGCGAGTGTGCGACTTATGCCAAGCGGAATCAGTCGGATGAAGAAACTGCTCAGCTTGCGAGTTTTTTTTCGGGGGGTGGTGCAACAGCGACTACGCGTGGCTGCAGCGTTGATAGCTGCTCTAGCCGCTAGCTGTGAAGCGTCGGATCATGCTTGGCTTCTCAAACTTTCTGAATTACTTGGGCACAATGCCTGGAAGGTCAGTGGCAGACGCTCTCGACATGCAAACCCATGCTGCCCATGCTATCCTATGTCGCAACAAGCAATGTTCAGATCGACGGCCGAAGGCACGACGCCGCCCACGAATGTCAGATGTCCCCACTGCACTTCGGGCGCAAAAAGGCGGTCTCTTTTGCTGCTTCCTCGAGTGCTGTCCTGGCTTCCGCCTGCTCGCGATTGCGCCTCGAAGGGTTTAAAGCATAAAACTTAGGACCTAGGACTTGGCAACGGTGGATCCCAATGGCAAATGTGCTCGCAACTGGCCTCTGCAGCTTCTCCAACCAAGTCTCTTCGCGGTTCTTTCGCAGCGCCAGCAGGACCCCAGCGCCTGTAGCACGGATGTGGCCGATGGAGTGGTTGAGCCAGAGCAACCACGAACCCTGGAATCTGGGGCTTTCATGAGGGCGTACGACAAAAGCCCAGAATCCTCCTGTTGCCCAGTCTGAGATCTTTAGGCCTTCTCATAAACAAGCTCTGATGACCGCAAAACCGCAAGCCCAAACGATCATCAGACGAGCTAGCCATTTTCGCCCCCACTTCAGGCAGGTGTGCACAGCTCAGGTTGAAGACATGGCCGCAGCCATCCACGGTTGCTATAGTCTACTCAGTCTACTTAGTACTTCAAACCCTCGGCTGCCTTCGAGAAGTCTCAGAGCCTCCCAGGGGTCTGCGCTCGTCCTTGGGCTCTGGTAGCCGGCCGCAGTGACCTCCGGTCCCATGCAGAGGGAAGCTTCCAAGTCGACACTTCAACGATCCTTCGTCCCCGGCCATCTCGGTGTAGGCATCCAAAGACATACTCACGCCTTTCGAAGGAATGCGATTACTTGAGCAGCAACAGCTCATGTCTCGAGGCGCCTCTTGGCAACTGCAGACTAAGTGCGCCCAAACCCGATTCAGCACTTCAATCCTGGGAGACACGCGTTCCGGATCGTGCGCGAGGCTGTGGAATGGATTGAAGTCATGGCCTCAGCGCCAAGTTTCCGAAGCACCACACACCTCTCTTGTCCGATCCGGCAAACACGGTGCGGGTGATCCAAACAGCGGGATCCACAACCACGCGCCGCAGCAATCCCTCGTTATATCTGAGAGGAGGATCTCATTTCTTCCGCTCAAGATGTGGGAACGTCTTGATTAGTGGAGGTTTTGCAACGGACACAAGGGTTGTGGACAGCCGCACCTCGAGCCTGCAAGAACCACCAAGGGCAAAACCCCGCTCAGGCATAGGCGAAAAGTTACGCGTCAATGCTGAGATTGCAACTGACCAGCTAGCGGCACCCGTTTATGTGCAAGTGATGTATTCAGCTTCTGAAGTCTTCGTCGTGTGGCAATCATGAGCAGTTCCATGACAGCCCAAACCACAGCCAGCACATGATCTCGGCAAACTGCTCCACACGCGAACGGTACTTTGCCAGTCCACCTGGCCATTGTTGCAGGCAGACAAGGAGTTGCGAGTTGCTTAGAACCGAACGGAATCTCTTCCGTCGCACTTGACTCTGGCTCGAAACGCAGACGTCCCATAAGCACTGCGATCAGGGAAGGCTTGCCAGCTCCACGCCGTAGAGCCGCTGCAGGAATGGCTCGGGGCGACCCGGAGCCGGCACCTCGCGAAGGAAGACTCTGACTCACAGTGCAAGTGCAATGCCCCACCCCGAATTCGACCGGCAGTTGCCTGGATGCCATGGAAATCGATGGTGCCTCATGACAGTGTCTGCCAAATACACTCCCCAACCATGAACTCATCCACCCTGCGCGTTTGAGGTCCCAAAATGGGCCCCCGGCAGAGTGGGAAGATCTCCTGACAGGACGAGTCCTAAAGCAAAAGAGCTTCATGATGCCCATAGCCTCATCTACGGCTTCGAGGCTCCTCTGCAGACGGAAAATCCTTCTCGGCCTGTAGGGGCTCCTTGGCAGGTGACAGACCAACATCGGCGGGCCTCTGCGCTATAGTTGGGAGACATGTCCATAGTGCCGACGCCGCAACCCTTGTTCTCGCTTCGTGCGCTTTTGGTATCGTCTTGGTCTAGCATGGGAGCCAGCGGACGAGTCCTCGCCACATTAGTCCCGAATGTAGAACGGCTATATCTGACCCTCTAACTGCGCTTGACAGCAGATTCTGCTGTGGCGCACAACTCTAACAACACAGTGCGATCTCATCTTAATTTTTTGGAGACCGTCGGAGACCTAATTACTCGCAAAGAGAGATGGCAAAGCCTCAGGTGGCCGCGCAGCTTGCGCAGAAATCTACTGCACAGGTATCACAGCGGCGTAGGAGACTGCCCGGGGGGAAGTGCGCCTCGCAGCCGTGGCAAGTCCATCCTGCAGGAGAAGAACAATCAAGAGAAGTTCCAAACGAACACGAATGGAGATGACAAGTAGATGTGTAGGTACAGATCAGGCCGTAGGTAGACGACACATACAAGATAAGTAGACAGATGGACATAGATATAACTATGACGAGCGAAATTAACATCACATGCTACGGCGCCAAAACTCATGGTGCACACAGTTGCCCGCAAGCTCTGCTACAGCAAGACCTAACCCTAAACCCTAAACCGATACCTGTCAACTGGGTGAGCATCATCAGCAACATCATGATCCTCATGACGGACACGAAAGCCGTGAGGGTGAAGATGATTGAGTTGGTTGCTATGTTTACCCTTCACTGTTGTATTGTGACAAAAACTACTACGCCGGTCTCCGATGCGTTCCTTGTGTGTACGTGTCCCCGAAATTTGCGACCGTCGCCGGGGCCACCCGAAGCCTCAAGATGCGATGCGAAGCAGAAAGTCGTAGAAGCGACAGGAATGCTCTGGGGAGAAGAAGCTAAGGATATGACCGGACCGAGCAGTGCTGAGTACCCGTACAGAATCTAGACTCTGGACCCTTCTCCATTACTCCGATCCAAAAAAACGGTCATACTGAACAGTCATGCAAAATCGGCCGAGCAACCGGTTGAGGTGCTTGCAGTCTAAAGCCTTGTACACATTGCGGCTGCGCCGGAAGAATGACAGAGCATCTGTCTCGGAGGAGCCTGCCTTTTCGCGCAACAAAATGCCGGACCGGAAACGGGTACTGCTAGACTCAAAACGTGCATGGACCTCTAGATTCTAGAGTTTCAGCGCATAGCCCGCGATGTTCTCGAGCCCTGCTTGGTATTAAGGTAGTGAAACCTGCATGACTCTACTGCGCTGGAACGTAAGATGCTCAATAACTGTAGGGCTCTTTCCACCCAGCTAGACAACTCATCCTGGAGACTGCGGCGAATCCCAAAATGCCGCCCGGTCCGCTAGCTTGGCCCGGCGAGTGCCCTCGGAGGCACATCGGATCAGGGTGAGCTGCGGCGTATCGGTGAGGCCCAGATGCTGCCTCAGTTCTGTCTCAATCACAGCATGCTTCTCGCCGCCTCTTTGTGATGAGCAATACTCTCATGATGCGGAGTGCTTCTGACCACGTCCTGTGCCCCATGTGATTGCTGCAGTCGGTCCATGGTACATGGGATTGCACCTTCGCATGTGTTTAGAGACATCTCGGGAATCTCACAACACTCTTTGCCCACCCGAAAAGCGACACCTGACCCCAACAGACAGTATCTTCCTTCAGCACCTCCCTGCACAGACGGCAATCCGGCAAGCTGCAGGGAATGGAAGTCCTTCTCTGGTGGCAAGGGCTCGGTACCTGCCACTTCCAAAGCAGCCTCCACAAAACCGTCTCTGCCCTCTTTCTCACGCGTACCTTCCACGAGGCCAACGGACTCAAATTCGAGATCGAAGGCATCGGCCACGGCTTGGCGTAGGTGCACCAGCCTCTCATTCCACTACATTCCAGGGAGTGTTCGCTGTTCCCCGTCTAAGGCATGGGACCTGAAACCGGAAATACCGGAATCCAGCCAAGAAGCAAAGACCTGGGCAGCATCGAAAGAACCTTCGTCTCCCCGGACAGTGAGCTCACCTCTCTTCACGGCTTGTTCTGGACTCTCCGAATGCTAGCGCTGCAAGTTCATCTCGTTCGACACACTGTTCACGTCTCAGCCAACATGTAAGAACTGCATGACAAAATGCCAGTATCAGCTGAGTGAACTCCATGGCTACACATGGCTCACCAGGCGTGAACATTCTGCTGCAGCCACTGACTCTTGCGGACCTTCCCCGGGCCTGCACACGCAGGGCAGCGTCCTCCTCGGGCTCGGGCCGTGGCCGCTTGCGCCAGGCCGTGGCGACGATCTGACGCTCGTGGTGCATCCTGTACCTCTCTAGGGACGCACATCCCCTGGTGCGGGCCACCAGCCACAGCAGCCGTGCGAGCCAGGCCCAAGGCCAGGGAAGCAAGACCATCGAAAGGGCCACCTGAACAAACTGGAGGGCTCATTATATTAAATGAAAAAGCCTGAAAATGCATTGTACCCTCCCCGTAAAGTCCCTTCTCAAAGCAAGACACACACACACACAGTCTAATTCTAACAGGCCCGGGCCACCATCAGCCTGAAGGCGAGCTCGCCTGCATCAGCCTGCAGTGTGTATAGGAGCGGTAGTTGGTGTAAGGTGCTGACATGCTCGGCGAAACCGCCGCAAGCTTTGCAAACGCCACCATGGATCTGGAATCCCACCGGGCAGCAACAGCTGCCTGCCAACCGTGCTCCACGGCAGTTGACGAATCCACGAGAGCTGCACTTCGACACCCAATGAGCTGAGCCCAAGAGTGGTTCCTGGCCGGTGCATTGCCTGAAGCGCCTGGGCACCTGCAAAGAGATCACCTCGTCCATGGCCACCTGGTAGGCCTCACGTGCACCAACCCACCAGGAGAAGCGAGTTGCTCCTGTGAGGACGCTTTGGTCCTCTTGCGGTGGGAGGCCCGACTGTATGGCCCATGCGAGGGGCGTTGAGGATGAATTCGAGGCGGCGACGATGGGCACCGCAAACACGCAAGTGATCGAGCAGGAGCTCCCGCCTCTGTCCTCTGCCTTTCCTGATAAGGTGTCGGCCTGATTAAAGCCCCAGTCTTTTCTGCCTCTCACATCCGGCAAGCCTGCAGGGGCCCTGCAGTCTTTGAACATGCACTGCTTGGCACTGCAATCGCTGCAGTGGGCAGCTGCGCCGACCCTGCTCATGTCGAGGCGGGCGTCTGGCAGCTGGACTAGGGCACTCTGAGCGCCCTCGTGGTCGAGGCCGATGCTGCTAAAGCTTGTGAGGCTTGTGTGCACAATGGGCCAGAGGCAAGTATAAGCATAGACTGGTCCGTTCGAGGAGGAAGAGATCACAACCAGGGCGGTGTATGAACAGCAGCAGGTAATCCAGCGAATGCGGTCCAACCAGTGCAGCGGGTGATCCACCCTTCGGAAGAAGGCGGGTGCGATCCCCCTCTTAAAAGCGAGTAAGGAAACTGCCAGGAAGCCCAAAAGGTGCGAAAGCTCTCCCAAGGAGTGGAAGATGAACTGGAGCATGCACATAAGAATCGATGGGGCCACCGAAAGGCTCATCAAAATGATACTTTGATCAAAAGCTAAACTCAACGAAGGACTTCCCATTCCGAAACAATCGCCCGCTGTCCAACGGCAGGCGCTTGGCGATGGGCGAAAGGCCAGAGGTGCCACAACACCTAGCTTTGGGCCTGAGCCGAGAAGCGGCAAACAAGTGCCCGGAAGTGTCTTTCCCTTTAAACTCCCAGATGCCAAACTGTGACATCGTGCTCCATGAGCCCCAGGGTAGGAAGTCCTCGCGCAGGAAGATGTCGAGCTCCACTTCGCAGTCCTGCGTTGGGCCGGACCTGGAACGCGAGCACCGTGGCCTTTAACTTACCGGGACAACTTACTTGCTCTGCTTCGCCTTTTCTTAAAGCGAATCCACAACACTGCAGGAAGATCAGATGCGATTTGCTAGTTTGCCCTGGAGCTCATGGTTGGCTAGGCGCTTGTGCACGCCTCCACAACCAAATGGAGCGACACAAGATACATGAGTTGCTTGAAGTGCTGCATCAGCCTGAACGACGGTCAACTTCTGATACTCTGAACATGCATTCCAATCTCAATCACATCCCGATCCTCAGCCCCAAAAGTCCTAAGTATGCGCCTAATCCAACCCTCCCCCCCCACTAACCTCAACCCTCAGCACGAATTCAACGTCAGGCTTCCGGCACATTTCAAAGTCTGGAATCAACTTTGGTACGGTTGATTTCTTCTTGCTTTTTTTGTGGTACTTCACGCCGATGTTATTCAGACCCCCAAACTTCATGCCAACTCCCCCGAAGGAGAGGGCGAAAGCAGGTGACAGATCTACAAGGTTCAACCCTTGAACCCCACTCAACCCCGCCCCAGCCCAGAGCTCAGCTCCGCAGCGGGCCTCAGGCCGACATGCGCGACGGGTGTCGTGTTCCAGCCTCAGGCTGACGCATCATTTCAAAAGCACGATGCAACTGTACCCAGAGTCATGCACAACTGGCGCAAGCCATTCACGGGATCTGCATGGGTCAGGTGTGGCGTGGTGTACACTCGACTCTAGCCGAGATGGCCAGGCTCGGCCAGGGCATGCGCCGGAGCTTACGACGTAGACAATCCACAGGGTTACGAAAAGTGACTGCGATGCAGGTGCTGCCACAAAGTCTGGAGACCATGTCGCATCTCTACTTAGGGCAGTGCTTGGTCGATGGCTCCCTCTTCCGGTCTTCTCCCTTTAGTCCCTTTGGGCTTGCTTCCCTTCTGAATGGCTTCCTGCGGATCCGCGCAGATGTAACAGACTCTAAGACTCTAGGGTTTCGTTGCAACTGCAAGTGATCGAAACCCTAGAAGATCGCGCCCAAAGTCAGGGTGCAGCCAACGAAGAGCCTGATGATGGTCTTGTGCTGAACAGACACGTACCTTATCTTCGTATCTTCATGTCATGTTATATGGAGAGCGCCTGGGCTCTGCGAAGCAGCTGGCAAAATTTCTTAAGCGCAAGCGTCAAACAGAAGGCCCTTGCATTACAGCTTTCGCCACTTAGTGCCCTGACTGGAGCCTGCTAAAAAAAGATGCTGCTTCAGACGCAGACCTGAAATCCTTGAATGACTTAGACTTAAACTCCAGGACCGTATACGTTGCCATGATCCCATGCCTCATGAGCACGCCTCCCCCGCGGACCGCGTGGGCACCGGACGGCCACCGCGCCGAAAGGCCAGCGGTGCTCGCCCTTCGAAGGCGGCCTGGTCAAAGTGCAGCCCACTGGAGATAAACTGAAATTCAGCTTCGAGGCTTCGGGCACGAGCCTCAATCTTTGTCAGGTCTGCCTCCAGGGCTTCCAGGTCCTCCCCAGGCTGCTTAGCATGCCGTGCGGTGATTGAACCGGTTGAGTGTGTCTGCTGCTGCCTTCACACTAACGAGACTTGGTCGGGTCGTCCGTGTGGCGGTGGTGCACATACATTAAGGTGATGCTCAGGAGTTGAAGCATCACGGCCATGCATGGCGAAGCAATTTTGCACATAACGACCCTCAAGTACAGACGGATGCACTGCACTCGAGTTCTCAGCGGTGCACCTTGTTTGCCAACTGTTTCAGGCATGCTTGTTACCATGCTGTCTGGTTAGCACCCTGGATACTGAAGGCTCGAGACCTCAAGACCCGAAACGTTCACGGTGGCAAGATCTCTTTCTCTCTCGCGATGCGAAACGCGTGTCCACACGCGAGACCGCTCGTCAACAGCCCTTTCAACGGGACGTACGTGCGGGGAAAACATACAAGATCGATCGGCGGAAGCGTAAGGCATGGGAAACAGGTTTCAGGGAAACTGCATACACCATGGGCAAATCTATACAGGGCTCTTCGCTACCATTTTCGGGGGAGACGATGGCATGAGTAGGGTAAATCTTCTGGCCACCGCAGGGTAAAAACTTAGTATGAAAAAAGCCGTTTATGATCGCTGATGAGGTTCACCATGGTTCACCCGACACACACGGGGTATTCGTGACCACTCGCCGATAAAAGATGAAAAGCCTGGTAAATTGACGTTGGCGTAGAACATGGGAAGGCCGTGGCCCCGCAGTTCGTTTCATGTCGGCTCGTCCAGACAGCGCTGTGGAACTAGTCGAAGGTTGCATGATAAGTTGGAATTGTCGTCGTCCACTAAGAAAAAACATAGTGCAACCTGGAACAAATCGTATTGTATGGCTAATGATCCAGAAATGTGTCTCTCTGTAGTGTGCGGGCGCGCGCGCGAGTGGAGTCCTGAAAGTCTGATGGGATGTTCCAGAGGTTTCCGGCTACAGCATATTGGGAGCCACCGTCTTTCATGCTTGGTTAAATGCCTAAGCATAGGAATAACTGAATAACTCTCCATCTTTCCTAACCCGAAGGAGTCGCCCATCTCCCGAGTCGGTGTGACGATAAAGCGTGGGATGACACATAGACCACAACGTAGAACCTAAACCTGCGTCAAATTGGAGGGTATAAGGTCAGGCAGGAGAAACCAAGAGGAGCCCCTCCTCCATTGCTGGTTTGATCGTAGCGGTGAAACTGAAGGTATCGACTTGAAACTTACGGTCTGATGACTGATGCAGATGCTCGGCATGAATTCCAATGTCAAGCGAAATTCCAATGGCATACCAGCAGCCTGAAGGCTAGATGGCAATCGGCATGAAGATGTCATAATATGCCTCAATCACGGTCATAATGGCAATCAAAGTCATAATGACAATCAAGAGCTCACTGCGGTCAACAATGGCAGAATCCTGCGGTCCGAGGGAATGGGACGACCCACACTGTCTCGTGCCAGAACCTTGTGGCAAAGATCTAGCCAGTGGTTCATGCAGCTTATACACCACAAAACACTACTGAGAAGGGTCACTGCTGCGTCACGGCCACAGAGGTCAACAGCTGTTCGTCTGGCACGCCAGGACCCTCAAGTGCAAACTGGTACTGTCACACTTGAGTTCTCAGATGTGCGGAACTCCGATGATGCCGCTGCTTGCGATGTCCATTCCTCTGCCACTGCTGCGCACGCACTAAGGTGACGCTCAGGAGAATCGCTGCTGCGTCACGGCCATGCATGGCAAAAGCTCTTCGTCTCGCACATCATGACCCTCAAGTGCAAACTTGAATGGTCACACTTGAGTTCTCAGACGAGCGGAACTCCGATGATGCCGCTGCTTGCGATGTACATTCCTCTGCCACTGCTGCGCACGCACTAAGGTGACGCTCAGGAGAATCGCTGCTGCGTCACGGCCATGCATGGCAAAAGCTCTTCGTCTCGCACATCATGACCCTCAAGTGCAAACTTGTATTGTCACACTTGAGTTCTCAGACGTGCGGAACTCCGATGATGCCGCTGCTTGCGATGTACATTCCTCTGCCACTGCTGCGCACGCACTAAGGTGACGCTCAGCTTAGGATAATCGCTGCTGCGTCACGGCCATGCATGGCAAAAGCTCTTCATCTCGCACGTCATGACCCTCAAGTGCTAAGCTGTATGGTCACACGAGAGTTCTCCCCGGGACATTACTCACTGTCACTCAGATGTCAAGCACTGACATGTAATGCGCAGGGCTCGCTGGCGTCACGGCAGTTCTGTAGTGAGAGAAGGAACGTTCACAGCAGATATGGAGCCATGCCACTAGACTGGCTCGCAGTCCGAAAAGGCTTCTCCAAACACACCAGACAGCACACTGAGCTTATGTCCCGGCATATGCGATGTGCATGACGACTCCAAACGAAAAGTTCAGCAAAATCGACAGTTATACACTCCCAGTTCCCCTTCTGTGATCCGCGGTCCACATCGTCATCGTGAGGGATGAAGCCGCCATGGCGAAGGGCTCCCAGAAGCGATCCCCCTGCGAGGAAGCCATCAACCCATGAAAGCAGCGGTGGCGCGAGGAACAGGACTACACATACCTACACTAGCTGCAGGCCGCGCCGACAGCAACTGTCAACATGATGAAGCGAAGATATCCTCCATATCTCGTTTTCATGCATGCAGCAGTGTTTCTTCTGGGCCTGTCAGCCAGCAGGGAACCTGGGCATCCTTCAGCACGGCCAGAGATGCCTGTGACGGGAGATCCGCTCAAAGGAGTTCCCCGACTTCGACTGCGAGCTATGGATCGGAAGCCTTTGCCTAGGCCTTGTCAGCGAAAGCGACGTTTCATGGCATACTGGCTTCTGCGAGGAGACGGACGTGCAGCGAAAACACAAAGCTCCTGCAGAAGCTCGGCGCCTGCAACAGCACCAACCTGGGCGAGCCAGCTTCTTGTAGTTCTTCGAGGACAAGCTTAGTACATATGATCAGTGAAGTAGGTACCACAAGTCTAGCTACATACTTCAGAATTTCCGATACGTGAGCTTTGCATGCTGTACACTTCGCGTCGAGGCAGTCCGACATGACAGTTTCTGCTGAGTGTCACTGCTATTGACTGGAACGGGATTTAGCGATCAGTGCGGCGATATCGACCCCCTTCCATCTTCACGGACGCACCGGTCGCGCAGCGACTGAGAACGCAGCAAAGCATGTTGCTGGTCGCGTAGAACTCAAGCACAGGCCAGACATGAAGACTGCAAATCGTGCAAGAGCTCGATGTTCGTGGTGCTTGCTTGCATGTTGGACGCTGCATGGGCAGTGCTGCTTACGCACAGTGTAACAGCCGATTCCCAGCAAAAGAGCCTTCTCGGCCAAAACTTGACGCACAAGTACAGGCAATCGGAGGTCTTAGAGCCTGCAAAGTCAACTCCGACCTACCGAACCTTGAACGGAAGCAAAGCCAAGGCCCAAGTCCGGAGGCCACAGAAACCAAACCAGGGCTCCGACGCGAGGGGTTCAGCCACGCAGGCTTCGCCGGTGCCTGCTCGCAGAATATCACCAAATACCAAACCGGCTCGAAGCTGAGCAAAACGCTACCACGCCACCGTCCGCTTCTGGAGCCCGACCCGAGACCGACCTCTAGAATGACAGATACAGTACTGAATTTAGTTACGTTCGGCCTCCTCCGTCGCCATAACATCGAAATGGCCGCGAGAGGGCTTTCGGGTGCAGAGGTGCTATGCCGGAGGAAAGTGTTACAGCATGCTGGGGCGCGTTGTTGCGGATACTCACACACAAAGGATGCTCGTTGCGTAAGTGAGCAAGCCCTGCGCTGCGGCACAAGCTTGTGAACGTCTGCCAAGAAAGCACCTACCTTCGTGCTGCAACATGAGACGGACGGCATGCCGGAAAAGAGAAGCTCTTCTTTTCAAGAGCCGCGCGCCCTTGTTCCGTTCGCCCATGGCAGCCCCCGATTGAATGCTCTTCGTCATAGCACCATACTCATACTCATACTCATACATGAACCAGAATGATACAAGGATCGTCCCTCTGAAACGACATGAACTAAGTAGAGCTGTCACTCCCTGTGACTTGCATCTATTACATCATCCGGCTTCCAGCTGCTCAGGCACAGACGGTCAAGCACAGTCGAGAACATGTGCCAAGCCACCAAGGCCAGCTCAGTTCAGTCCGGGAATGTTGCACAGAGCACAGCAAGGGAGGAGACGCTTTGGGTTCGACTTGAGCTCATAGCCGTGGTTTCAGTGGCTTGGTACAGCGACTCAGACCACATGCTTCAGCCAATCAAGACAGCTGCCCGCAGCTCTTGCACCGCTAGCACTTCCTGAATACTTCGTCTCTTCTGAAACATGATGCTACGGCAGGAAGCTCCTCTTTTCAAAGGAGCTCCGTGCCCCATGTGCACCGACGCTACCCTACGGGCCCCATTCTTGCTGGATGATACCCCCATGATTTGCCAATGCGCAAAGCTTGCTGTACTGATAAACTTGGCGACATTCCTCAGAAGATCTTACATGAAAGTGCGGCTGTCCAAATCCGTCTACCGTCTACACTACCAAGGCCTCTAGAATATCATCCAGCTGATCATCGGGCCAAACGCTGTCGGGAACGGAGTGTCAGGTCACTAGGCAGCTGAGCTTCGTGTAGCTGAGTCAGCTAAGTTTTGAACAAGTGCAAGGGGTGTAGACTGCACGCAGCTTTGAGTCTGTGCATGGTTGCTGAGGTTCAGCTGCCTGTGCTGCACTCACTCGCTGCTCCTGAGGGAATGGCTTGGCTGGGCATGCGCACGGCTTGGGATCGGCAATTCATGTGCATGCACGGTTGCCAGGAAATCCGTGGGCAGGACAGGCGCACACACCTCCGTTACGTACCCGCGCAGCAGCAGCAGCAGCAGCAGCAGCTGGAAATTGCACGTATGTGACCGGGACGAATAGCCATTTGCGAAGCTAAAGCGACGCCTTTCAGCTATCATCTTTCACACTTGTTCTGCAATGCTGAGGCTTTGTAGCCTGAACTGGTAGTCGTAGAGGCAGTGGTAGTGGTGGTGGTGGTNNGGTGGTGGCGGTGGTGGCGGCGGCGGTGGTGGCGGCGGTGGTGGTGGGGGTGGAGGTGGGGATGGTGGTGGCGGTGGCGGTGGTGGTGGCGGAGGCGGCGATGGCGGCGGCAGTGGTAGTGGTAGCGGGAGCGGCAGCGGCAGCGGCAGCAGCAGTTGGAGTCGTAGTGTTAGTGATAGTGGCAGCGGCAGTTGTAGTCGTCGTCGTGGCAGCAGTCGTAGTATGAGTATAGCAGGAGGAGCAGCAGCAGCAGCAGCAGCAGCAGGCGACTAATCGCTAAACGCCCACATGCAAATGTCCCGAAGCGCAAATGCAGCTTAGCGGCAGCAGCTTCTTCAAGCCGCGCACAAGCAGCAACTTGTGGCCCAAGGCGCGCATCTGCAGCGCCTGCTGCACTGAGATCGGGGACATTCCTCAATCCTCGTGTGTTCCCGTGCACTGGTCTTGAAGCATGGAAGCGCTAGGATGCTGAGGCATGGCTCTAACAGCAAACACTGCACTTTGGATCCCGTAATGCTGCCTGGAATGCCCCCAAACCCTGCCCCTGTTCTGTCTCGGGACCTATTAGTACCCTAAGCACTCTCTCTCTCCTGTCTCTCGGTCTCTCCGTCTCTCGGTGTCGGTCTCTCCGTCTCTCGGTCTGTCGGTCTGTTGGTCTGTCTGTCTGTCCGGCTGTCACTCTCTCTCTCTCTGGCTCTCTTCCCTTCTCTGGCGCCCAAAGGTTCGGTCAGTCTGTCTCTCTGTCCCTCTCGCTCTCTCCCCCGGGCATTGGGGGACTTGTCAGGTGTCCCGGGCTTCAAACGATCTGTTCTCGGGGCTGAAGGGGGTGAGAAAAGACAAGTTCGTGGCAGCATCATGGCTAAGGCCTTAAAGCACACGACGCTTGTTACTACCACTATCTTCTTCGCAGATAACATCGACTCCATGCTCGCCAAGAAGTATTATACAACTTAAATCCCACTTTCTCACGTCAGAAAGCCGCATATCCATACAAATCAGTCCCCTCTTTTACCGTCAGAGGAGTTTTCTTTCTCTCCCAGGGCTTAGGGTCGAACCCTTGCATGGAGGCACGCCCTCTGTTGAGGGTTCGGGCGGCGTCAGGCGGGTTTGCATCTCTTGCACGGGTCTGCTGCCCAAGGACGACTACACTTTAAAGTACTGTCGAGTACCGAGCCCCGATGAAAAGATTCCAAATGCCCCGAACAAACACTGCCTGCCAGTACAATTGTCCACACAACTGGTCACGTTGTCCTCTCTATACAAGTGCTATGCATAAATGTACGTATGTGCACGCACACGCGGGCTCAAACCTACGCGTATACAGGGATGCATTCTCACAAGTGGGCTTGCAAGCATACATGCATGCATGCATGCTTGCAGTACAAAAGAATCTACATATATACATATATCTATGTTTATATACAACATAACTTAACGCATGTTGGTACGCATGCATGTAAGCATGTATAAAAAACAGAGATATGTGATATGTATACATACGTATGGAAACAGAGACAGGAACCAAGCGCGCGAAAGAGAGAGAGAGAGAGAGACAGACAGAGAGACAGAGAGACAGAGAGAGAGAGAGACAGAGAGAGAGAGAGAGAGACAGAGACAGGGACAGAGAC